ATTAAGATGTATTCCCTAATTTGGGTTTGATGTCAGTATAATGAGCATCAAAAAACAGTGCTTAGATGATATGACCAAAGTCCTCTTCCTGCCTTCTGATTTAGAGGTTGCCAAGAGAGAAGAATTGGACTTGCCTTATTTGATTGAAGGGAAATGTAAGTGTACTGCATTAATATGGAAGATGAACAAATGTGTTTAATGCACACTAAGAAGGAAAGGCAGAGGGGAATGTTGGGCAGTTACTTGAAAAGTGACTAAAGTATGTGCCACTTTGTGACTATGACTGCACACAATGATTTTGAACTCAAGTTCAGTTGTTTTGTAAATGGCATGGCGGCCAGCCGAGGGAAGAAAGAAGATGACCCCACTCAGGGATAACCAGGTCGACATTGTATTCAAGTCACACAACAGTCACAGCTGCAAGTTCTGGACTTGTTTTTTGTTCCAAACAAAGATATGGCCTTGCATTCCCTGGCAATTTGTTTATAATCGTCACCACAATGTAACATTCTCCAGTGTGTCACAGAAAAACATGACATAAGAATATGAATGCAAACATATGAAAAAAAAAGCCCTCAGGTGGTTGTTAATTTTTGGCACTTTGTAATTACACTAGTTTTTTTAAATGTTATCTTTTGCCAGTATCTAATTAGCAGAGCCATCTGCTGAAAGAGCAGTGGCCCATCTGCCTTGAATGTTGTTCTCTTCATTTTTATGAAAAGTATCTGCCATTGCTAGTCCCTGTCTAATTAACTTCTCTTGCTGTGGAATGTAATAATGCATAGCTTTGTTTATATATTTCTGAGAACTGTGGATTTATATGTATGTAACACATACATCAAAAGAGCCAATCTTTTTTTCTTTCCAACATCTGATTTTATCCTGAGATCACAGATCCATTTATCACAAATGGAGCAAGTCTGCGTGCGGAACAKTGAGGTGTGTTGTACCATAAAACAGCAGGCACTACCTTACTCCCCCAGGGCTTCTGCAGATATAAAAGGGTTTTCTGTAAGCATACCCTGCTTCTTTACAGGTTTGATTKTAGCACTGTCACTTCCTAAGAGTTGAGGATGCGGTAAGCTCAGTGTACAACTGGATCTGAGAGAACCAGCATGGGGCTTCCCTAACAAGGCAAAGGAACACTGTTGCCTTCTTATATCCAATACCATGCTGTCTAGGCCAAGGAAATCTGCTTACATTTTGCTGTAAATTCATATCTGATGTGTGCAATTGTGATCAATATGTCTGCTTTTCCTTCCRTCAATCACTATATAGCAGAGTATCTTCTATCTGATATTTGATAGATATTTAATGACCTTGTTAAATGGRAGAGAGGTATATAAGAATAAAGCAAAACTTTTATGAATTGATAGCAGACTTTTTTTTTTTAAACGAATTCACAGAAAACAATTGAGCCCAAAGGAAATCTTTGTGTTTTTTAAACACAGATGTTTCAAGCTCTTTGTCCACTGTAGATAGTCTTTGAGTACTCAAGTAACCACAGTATTTTGGCTAGGTCTGCTACTGAAACATACAATGAACACTAAATGTTGAAGAGGAGAAAGAATTAATATTCTTGTCTCTCCTGGGCTAACATGCAATAAGTAAGGATAAAGGATGACAAAAATTAAAGCTCTTAAAAAGATAAAACTCAGGAAACAGGTCTATGAGAGTTGTATGGAAATCCGAAATGTAGAATGCCTTCACATTTGTGTGGTCATCATAAAGGTAGGTTTGGGTGGAAARTGTTTGAAATGAATTTGAAGACAAGTAGTAAGACAGCTTCACAAACCAATAGTGGATTTTGTTCCAAAATAATGATATGTGGATGGATTAGAGAGACTTTCATCATTGTGATCAAAACACCTCGAGAACAGCTTGGAGAAGGAAAAGGTTATTTTGGGCTCATGTTTTCTAAAAAAACAGTGGGTGGTAACTGGCTCCGCCATTTTGGACCGAAGGAGAGGCCAAGCATCATGGTCAAGGAAAACAGCTCTCTCATGGCAGCCAGGAAGCAGAGAGGGAGACGGGAAGGCAACACAAGAAACCTGCAGCCTTCAGGGCACCCCAGGGACCCCCCTCCTCCAGCCAGGCTCCTCCTGCCTACAGTGACCATGCAGTTAGTCCATTCACGCCAGGATAGACGGACGAGGTTGCAGCTCTTGCAATCCAGTCACTTCACCTCTGAACATTTCTGCATGGACACARAAGCTTTGGGGGACACCTCAGATTCAAACCACAACAATTGAATAACAAAAGTCTACATTGAGAATAGAAAGAGAAGGTTTGATTAAAAGGAACTCAATTGATTAGGATAGATCTAGAAGAATAGAAGAAGACCTGACCAGGTCTAAAAGGAAACTAAGTTCAAATGGAGGAGTGGATAACTTGGGGAARTGAGATCTGAGATAACAAAGTGCCATTGATATCTTTGTTGGTGTCCTATGGACTATTTCTTCCTTCCATAATGCCAAGTGATCCAATGGGCAAAGTCCAGTTTACTGAGTGATAAGAAAGACACTGTCGGATTAATGTGGAACTCACAATTCTCGTGTCATCTGGAAAAGTCCCTTTTGCTCACTGCATTCTTTTTATAGTTCTGTGATACCCAATGGTATGTGTTTATCCCTCCTATTTTCTGCAATAAAGTCCTATCCTTAATTTGAAACTTCTCTAGAGTCCGTCTTCTGTCTGAGGTGAATCCACAGAAAAGCTATATCTTTAAYGAATTCTGGATTTGAATATTATTTGCATGCTAATGACCCTGTAATAAAAATGCCTTTGGAAATTCACTTTTCTACTTTTAAAAATTGTCTTCAGAAAAATCTATAATACTTGTCTTATTTTCTGTTGGTCTGATAAACTTGTGTGAGCAGTGGTTATTTTCAGTAGACTGGGTAAAGTAGTGAAATGTTTATGAAAACTCCCACATTCTTTTTTCAATTACTTTCCCTTTTCCAGTCCTTGGCCAATATTTATCTTGAAAATGAGAAGGCTGCCCGAGCACCAGGTGGACTTGAGAAGCTGTTTGTTCTCCACRTTGGCAACAGGGTCTGAATGGTTTTGATGGCCCGTGACAAACACTCTTCCCTCTTAATCTTGGGAGGAACCCACTTTGTCATAGTTCTTGCATTTGCGGAAGAGGTCACTGATAGCCAGCAAAACCACGGGACCAAGAAGAGCCACTGTGGATTCCTTTTTAGCTGAAATATTCCTAGTGATTATAGAACACTGATTCCTTGCTGACTTACAGCACAGGGTCCTCGGATGACATAAAATGAAGGTTGTGAGGAGTTCTGAAAGAGTGTGTCATGTCCTGTTTTCAGTTTAAGTAAACACAAGACACACATATCTTTATTTACATAAAAACATCAGAGTGAGCTTTATAAAGAGATCTCAGGGAGGAACTCACTGGAGGGCCCAGCAGAGGCTCCTCTTCCCCTTTGTCTCCTCTTTACTTCCCGGATCTGTAGACACACCCCCTGGATGTCATGCCCCGCCTCTCCTTCAGAGTGTCCTCACTTTTGTGARAAGCACTGGCCTTCCTGGAGGGAGCTTGTCTTCAGTTGCATCAGAGGCTGATTAGCTGATTCTTCACAAGTGTGACCCTTCCTCACCACAGGAAAACCTCACAGAAAGGGTTAGGAATTCTCTTATCTGATGTTGACAGGGACAGAAGTCCCCAAAGTCTGCACCAGGGAGAACAGTGACAGTGCTGTTTCTGTTCAAGACACTCTCGTGGTGGTTCTCTCTGGAATCTTTTCTTATGTACTATGTTTGCCAAGTTAGATAAGTTAGACAAGATGCAGTGTGTTATGACTTAATCTCTGTTATATAACGTTCTTCRGAGCACAGCGGATATTAGATAAGTTGTTAGCTTGACTTTATTATTCTCCCAAGCATAGGAGAATTAGAAAAAAAAATCACTAGCAATAAGGGTAAAGTCAGTATTTTCCTTCATATCATTTGATRTTAGTTTTTATTTGGTTTRGTTTAGTTTATTATTTAACATTAGTCTAAATTAACAAAATATTCTCTCACTTAGCCATTTTCCGGATAATGACTTCACTGGTATACATCTCAGTTTCTTCAGCAATCCAATCCAAATAATAACCCAGAAAATAATTGTAATAGAAGTTGAGGAATTGGAGAAAATATTTTTACCCTATAAAAATCTACACRCTGTTTAGTAATAGAAAAATAAAACAACTCAGATGCTCCAACTTGTTCAAAATGATTCACAATCTCAGTGTTTCAATGTGTACAGGCATCATTTCTTCCTATGGAGCAAGAGCTTCCTGTTCCTTTCACTCATCACATATTCTGTTTGTGATTCCATGTGTGAAGATGTACATCTCAAATTGATCAGCATGGATTAGATTTGGAGTCAGAGAAAAACATTGAAATGTCTTGGCTCTCAATATTTAGTCTGAGCTAATAACAACATGAAAATTGCTGGCATTAGAGAGTAACAGTAGATGGATGGGCTCTTTGCATGAGCTAGGTATTGACTGTCATGGGTATATATATACACCTAAGGACATGCAAAGCTTCCCTCACTTGTCATCTAGGAATATGGAAGAGGGACATTCTCTTACAAAGAATTCTTCAGATCTAAGTGAGCATTTAGGGCGTTGTGTTTCTGGGTCCCTCCTTTCAGTCTCCGTTGGGTGTGTCRTGTGGTTTTATTGTCCTGATCTCCCTACATCCAGGCCCAGGGTCATCAGCTCATTAACTTGTCTCTAACAGGGACTAGATCCAAAACTCCYATTACCACCTTTAAAAAGCAAATTCTTGCTCATGTGTCCTTTCAAGGCTAGATTTGGATCCCAAATGTCAGCCCGTGGCTGGATTTCATGCATTGTGCTTTATCCTATCCAGGTGTCGATGTGGGGGTGCACCTGCATCTTCTAACGTGGTTATCAGAGCCTTCTTTAATGTCCCCCTTTTGTCAATCAAAGCCGTAACATTTGCTGTTGCTTTGATGTTTTCTACAGGCCGTGGAGTGGGGGTGTGACGAGGCCACCAGGAAAGCCTGTTACAGCAAGGGCAAATCCAAGGTAAGGAGGGCTTGGGACCAGGGTCATCGCCTGCCTCCAAGGACTCARTATAGCATTGTGACTGACCACATGGTGCCCTGTAATGTGAAAAGAGCAAGATTCGCTATATGCACACAGACTCTTATTTTTTTTACATTAAATGACAATTGATCCCAACCCCAATCATTTTCACAAAGGACRGAATAGAAGGTCAGATCTGATTTGCACTGTCAGTCATTACACTCAGATCTGAACTTGATTGAAGGCTGAGTGACTTTGTAAACTTGTCCCCCATCATCTGGAGAAACTCCCCTCCAGCAGGTGTGCAGGCTGGCTCACCCTGTACTGGTTTCACTTGCTGGGTAACCAGTGTCTCCAAGCCTCACCTGCTTCTCTGCCCTTGAACTAAATGGTTTTGAGAATCAAAYGCTGAGTCTGGGCTCAGTCAACTTAGCCATCAGGTTTCCCAGAAGGGAACTGAAAAAACTAGGAACCAGGGAGAGGAGCTGGAAGAAACTGCAGTCTCCACCAAGGAAACCCTCGGAGACAAAGAAAACAGAAAGGAAAAATTGATGATATTTTCCAAGAGAGATTTATCTCCAGAAAATGTATCTGAGATAAACATCAGAAATGAAGGAGGGAAAAAAAACGTAGTTAGCTCCAAGGAGGAATCAAAACATGGCATCTTAAAATATCTCCCAAATAAATAAGTGGATAATAAAAAAATCGAAAGCACATCAGAGAAATCTTTAACCTTCTCAATGAGTTTCATAAATTATGCATAAAATGTTTAAAAGGGTGCTTTTGAGATGGTTGTTTTCCTGCCTGTAATGCTGCATTGTCACGTTACAGATTGATYACACTCTCTGATCCTCACCTTACCTGTCAGGGCTCAAGGAGAGGTCCAGATCCTTTCAGCAGGGCCACCTGGCCAAAGCCATGAGCTGAAGGAGGCACCTTCTCAAGGGCTCAGGATGGAAAATGACTTTCTTTCTTCAGGGTAACAGGATTCGCTGATAGGATTTCTGGBCTTTATGTCCCTTGAGTATTAAAGAAAAGCACCAGATAACGTAGCCAGGGGCTTGACCACGTTGTTTGTGAGACCTAATCTTAGAAAAATCGGGGAGGCTTCCTTTTCCTAGTATGTTATTTCATTGGGGAGGAAAATTACTTTTGCTGAATCAAACTGGCCCCCCTTTTCACCTTAAGCTGTGGTCAATAGATGAGTGATGGTTAGAAATTGCTGGGCACGGTGGTGCACACCT